TGTCTATAAGCACACAGAGAACAACAATACAAGTAAAAAAGGAACAAAAACAGAGGAAGGAGAAACAACTTCACATGTAAGAGATGAGGGATGAAAGAATGAGGCAGCATTTGACCAAGACAGCATGCTTCTGCAGACTGGCAACACATGTATTAAAAAATCTAAAATAAGGGAAGTTCACTCCTATAAGCACCAACAGGCAGCTTAGCAGAATGGATAGAATGCTGGCTAGGTATGAGCAAGGCTTGGATTCAAATCTCGGCTCCAACTCTTACTAGTGATACTTCCTCTGTGTCTTGGTTTCCTCCCCTGTAAAATAGAACTAATAATACCTGCACGTATGCACCTCTCAGGGTTGCTGTGAGGATTAAACGAGATGAGGAAGTAAAATACACTACAAACTTTAAAGTACTATATTTAAAGTCAAGAAGCAGTTGCTATGTGCAAAGTACCATGCTGTATTCATAGTATTGTCAGTGGTTATCATTAATGGGAAGAACATAGAGTGGGAGTAAAGAGATTTGGGTTCTGGTCTCAACTTTACCACTAACTTAGTGTGACCTTAGATATGTCACTTTACTTCAGTCTTAGGCCTTGATTTCCTTTTCATCAAAATTATATAAAAATGCTTGCCTTATTACAGGGAAAGAGGCACTCTAATACATTGCTGTTAAAACTGTAAGGGTGATACAAGTATTTTGGAGAAAAAATGACAATACAGTAGAGTCACAAAACTCATCATTCTTTTTACCTCAGTGATTCCACTGGCAGAATTTTATTCTAAAAAATATTCAAAAGGGGGGAAAAAAGCTATTAACCCAAAAATATTTATAGCTGTTTTATTTTTAATAACAATAAATTATAAATAACCTATATATCCAATGACTACAAAATAGCTGAATAAAATATTCATTATATTGTTATTAATGTAATAGGATATTATGGTACCATAAAAAAACCAAATATGGAGCAGGGAAATAAATACCTAAGGAAAGTAATATAAAAATGAAATCAACAGAAGCATAATAAAAACATTAACATATATGTATAGCTATGAAAATACAGCCAAAAATAGTAGAATTTTGTGCCAAATTGACAAAAACATAAATATATTTAATTCATTTGATTCTGTTGGTTAAATACTAAGGATTTATGCAAGATTTTACTCCACACTTTACATGTTAATTTGTCACTGTTAATAGTTAAGTGTTTAATTTTTTAAATAATTGCCCTGCTTTTACTTTACAGGTTTTTGGACACTAAAATAATGGTGTATGGAAAAGCTCAAGTGCTATACTAATATTAGGAGAGCAGATAGTGAACTCCAGGTGAGGAAACCACTTCTACACCAACACAGGTCAGCACCTTCTTTGTAACTTTAATCTTAGAGAATTGCCTGGAAGTATTGAGAAGCAAAGAGACTTGCCAGATTTGTACAACAGGGTCAGTAAGATCTGAGATGGCACTTGAACCCAGATCTTCTTGGCTTCAAGACTGGATCTTTAACCATTATGGTACATTATCTCTCATAAGGGAATAAATATACTATTGGATGGTAAATGGAACATTCTGGTAATGATACAGTCATATATATTCCTCGTTTGCAGATTATTTTTAATAATTTTAGGGATAAAAAATACATTTAACAGTAAAATCAAATATAACTGGTTTTTGAGGATTCTAAAGGCATTTTGGGGCAGCTAGGTGGTACAGTAGATAGAATGCGGGGCCAGGAGTCAGAACGACTCATCTACTTGAATTCAAATCTGGCCCCCGACACTTACCTTGGACAATACAATTTACCCTGTTTGCCTCAGTTCCTCATCTGTAAAAATGAGCTGAAGAAGGAAATGGCAAACCATTCTATTATCTTTGCCAAGAAAACCTAAATGGAGCCACAAAGAGTCAGACCCAACTGAAACAACTAAACAAAAGGCATTTTAGGATCTCACAATTCCTGAGGTCACGCAATTTAAGCAGAGGTTATTATCTAGTACAAATGCCTCATTTTATAAATGAGGAAAATGAGGCCCACAGAGAATAAATTACTTGCCCCAGATAACACAGGTAATGAGTAACAGAGCCAGTATTCTAACCCATGCCCAAATTCTGTGCTCTTTCCACCATGCCATGCTGCTTTCTATATATTATCAGTATGAAGAGACACCATTATTACATTGGCAAAGCCTGGAAGTGTTGGCTAATAGAGATTTCTAACTGACAACATATCAGAAAACCCAGCTTTCACTGTGCCTATAAATATATAAATGGTGTTAAGAGGTGGGTGAGAGAATCTCTTTCCAATTTAGTTAATAGCCTTCCTTACATTTATATAGTCTTTATGGTTTAGCTGGCTAATAAGTCTTTGAGCCAAAACAGCTCTATACCAATTAAAAGCTACATATTTCACATTTCAATATAGCCAGTTCCTGTTACTTATGTTCATACTGACAAGAACAAGGAAGAGGAAGCAAACTAAACGGAAATACACAGGAAAATCAAGAGAAAGGATTTTTAAAAATCCTATCGTTACCGAATTTACTTAAATACTACTTTCAAAAACTGCTAAAGTGCCTCCAGTTTTGGTGACTTTCTCCCTTAGGACATACTCCAAAGAAATAGTAATGAGATAAATAACTAATGACTGACTGCCTTTCATATTCTTAACAAGCTAAACTAGCCTTTGATACTATCACTCACTTCTGCTTGAGACTCTCTAGGTCCATGTCACTATCCTATCCTCGTCCTCTTCCTACCTGTCTGACCAAATCTTCTATTTCCTTTGCTGCATCTTTGTCTAGGTCAAGTCTGCTAATGCCAGGGGCCCCAACAGGGCTCTTTCCTGAGCCTTCTGCTCCTGTCCTTCTATATGATTTTACTGGGTGATCTCATCAGCTCCCACATATTAAATTTTCATCTCTATGCTGATGATTCTCAAAGCTACTTATACAGCTCTAACTTCTCTCCTAACCTCCAGAATGGCATCTCCAACTACCTACTGGACATCTCTAACTGGATACCCTACATACATCTTAAACTCAACAGGTGCAAAAGTAAGTTCGTTATTTCCCCCCAATATTCCCTCTCTCCAACTTCCTAATTCCCTTATTACTGTGAGAGAACCATCAGCCACCCAGGCTCAGAACCTACTTGTCATTCTTAACTCCTCACTTTTTCTCATTTCCTGTGTCCAATCTTGTTGCTAAGGCCCATCAATTTCACCTCTGCAATATCTCTCAAATATGCCCCCTTCCCTCCTCTCACACTGCCACCACTCTGATGTAGGTCCTCATCCCCTCACACCTGAACCATTACAATACTCTACTGGTGGGTCTCCCTGCCTCAAGTCTCTTCCCGAGCTTCAGTCCATCCTCTCTTCAGCTGTCAAACTGATCTTCCTAAGGCTCAGTTCAGACCATATTCCAAACCTACCCCCCACTCCAGTGGGTCCCTACAACCTCCAGGATTAAACATAAAATCCTGTTCGTCATTACAAGTCATTCGTAACCTGGCCCCTCCTACTTTTCCAATCTTCTTCTATGTTTCTCTTCCCTCCTCACCACCCCACCCCTTGTCCCTCATACTCTGTAATACAGTGACACTGGCCTCCTCGACTTTCCTCACACAGGACCCCACATCTCCCTATTCTTCGAACTTTCATTTCACTCTAGGCCTGGAATCCTTTCCTTCCTCATCTTTGCTTCCTGGTTTTCTTCAAGTCCTAGATAAAAGCCTACCTTCTACAAGCAGCCTTTCCTAATTTCCCTCAATATGAGTGCCTTCCCTCTGTTAATTATCTCTAATTTAGCTCACTTTTTTTTGTGCAAGATTGTTTTCATGTCGTCTCCTTCATTAGAAGATGAGCTCTTAGAAACAGGGACTGTCTTATTTTCCATTTGTATCCCTAGCACTTAGAACAATGCTTTTCACATAGTAAGCACCTAATAAATGCCTCATTCATTCATTCATTCATTAAAAGAAAGAACACAGCTGGAATACCATCTCCCTTTTATTTTGGTACCCCCCCCACCTAGCCCCACCAAAAAAATAAAAAGCCCAAGAATTTCAGAAAAGCATCTCCTGGGAACAAATTGGCTTGCTGTCTTCTACAGTGAACCACTTACTATTCCAAGGTGCCAAGATTTCTCCACAGACATAATCCAGGGCATAGATTCACTTTCCTAGGTTTCCTACAACTAGGTCTGACCAGAACTCAAAAGGGATTATGTAAATACTTCAGATTTCATTAACTTGGAACTCAAAGTTCTAAATGTCATTTAAGGCAAAGGAAGGGCAAATTTGGGGTGAACTGGTACCCTTAATCTTAGAAATAAACCTCAACTGCAGAGAAACTATAAAGAAAACCCGCTCCAATGTTTCTGTTCCCTTATGACAAAGACTTATAAATATTTAGGAAGCATTTCAATTTGTGTCATTAACAAGAGCACATTTAACCAGAAAGCCGAATTAAGGGACCAAGGAAAAAAAAGATAGCTTTCTTGGCAATGATTTTGGGAATTAAGGTGAAGAAGAAACTAATTCTTACAATAAAATGGCTGTAGTTGGATCTGTTCCATGGATCCTATTTTCTAAACCTTCAAGTTCACAAACCAAGACGAAGGCTAATTAATAAATGACTTTCACAAATAAAGAGAGATTCCTTTCCGTGGCTTCTGTGCAAACTCCATTTTAGCATTGTTTGAGCTTGGATTTATGATAAAATGGGACTCAAGGTAACAAGTTTTGTTTTTCTTGACCTACACATTCAGCTCTATTTCCTGAACTAGATATAACATCAGATACCAGTAAGACAGCTTCCAATTGATGAAGTTGGTACTCTTATATCTCCAGAGGAGGATCAATGGAATCCTAATTGTTCACTTCAATGTTCTCCAAAGCAAACAATAACAGGAAGGCCCTACTATGTTCCTGAGTACTCCAGTTAAGAGCAATATGAATATTTAAAATAGGCTATCTATCCACAGAAACAAAATAAGTACCTCTGAAGTATTTGAACTGTGTGTGTCTTTGGGTATGTATATGCAAGGAGGCAGCAGAAGGGCATATAGTACAAGGCACCCTGAAATAAATAAAGAAATGGTTAATACAAAGTCAACAGTCTGAAGAAACATTTTTCATTTCAAGAAGTAGGAACTACCTTTCCAGGAGTGACATGAGGAAAAGAAGCTCTTTTCCATTCCACTTGGGAACAAAATGATGATACTGACAGAATCAGACTGGGTCTGTCTGTGCTGCAAGACTCAGAAGCCAGCTTCCCACTGAGCAAGCACATCCTAATGCATTGCACACCCTGCCCTGGATTACTGAGCATTCAGATGGCTACTTCTGCCCAAAAGGAAAAAGGGAAAAGCTCTCTGACCCAAACTGAGGCAAGTCCCTGAGGAAAACAACCTGCTACCCACAGAGCTTGGGGACCAATCTGTCTGCAATCCACTTTACAAACAGTGAAGATGAAGATATACATCTCTCTGTTCTGAGAGCAGGTCAGTTGGGAAAGCTAATGGCACAGCATCCTGTCTTTATTACACATACGGAGGGGCCTTCTAGACCCTTTCAATGATTCTATATATTTATATATGAGTATGTACATATGTATGCAATATACACAAGTGTATACATGTATGCAGATGTGTACATGCACATATATGTGTATACACATGTGCATATCTATCTATATTTCCCCTTCCTCATCTGTAAAATGAGGATAAGAATAGCACCTACTTCCCAGGATTGTTGTTAGAATCAAATGAAATCATTGTGAAGCCTTTAGCACAGTGCCTGCACAGAGCAGGAGCTCTATCAATGTTAGCAATTATTATTATTATTATTATATTATTATTATTATTACTGTTATATAATCTCCGTTCCCTACCTCTGGCCTACTGCTTCATCTCTGAACATCTCTACCTCACAGTGCCTTCCCTCCCAACCCCCTCCATCCTTTTTTTTCCTATCAAGGGCTCTTTCTCCCTAATCACCCACTCTCCCATCATGATCTGTTGGGGTTCTCTCTGGGCCTCAGTTGCCTCATCTGCAAATATGAGAGCAGGTTTCCGTGGCCTCTCTTAATGACTGAACAGCCTTTCCTTCTTCTCCCCCTTCCCATCTCCTCCTCCCCTCCTCCCTTCCGCATCCTATCACCCCCCCGCACCAGATTCATCTCTCCTTCCATCCCCCGCCCCCAAGGATGCCCCAAACCAGGATGCCCCTGCCCCCATGGGGTGCAGAGCAGGGCAGCCCACTCGCCTCTCCCCCTGGGGACCCCCACGGCCCCTCCGTGACCCAGGGGTCCTCCAAGCCCCCTTCCCTACGCCCTCTCTCCCCTGGCCCCCTCCGCTAGTCCGCAGTCTCCCAGCTCTCGCTCCGTCACTACGGGGCTGGCTTCCTTCCCGTGACTCACCCGCGGGGCCCTGGCAACTGACGGCCGCGGCTCCCCCCCGGGGGCTAGGCCCCCCGGGCCTCCAGGGTCTGGCCCGCCCAGCCGGCAGGCAGGCAGCGCTGGCGGCTTGAGCCCCGACAGCGGCGGCCCTTCAGCGGCCGCTCCGTACCCGCTCCCGGCTCAGCTCGGACTGGGTACGAATCAACAACAAGATGGCGGCCAGCCGAGGGGGCGGGGGCCTGGCGTCATAGCAACCATACCGGCAAGGAATACGCCCCTCACCGGGACTGCTTCCCCAATCACAAGCCGCTTAGCCCACCGATTGGGGTCAGCGCCCCCTGCTGACAGGTCGCGGGGCCCGTCAGTCCAAATCCTCCTGCATCCCCAACGCCTCCTCAGGTCCGCAACGCCAAGGGCACGTGACTGTGACGGGGCTCTGCGCCTGGGCCGCGCGCTCCTAATTCGTGGGCTGCGCGAGCTCCCGGGCCACGCGCGCGACGGCTGCTAGGTCACGGGCTTGACTGCGGTTCCGCAGGCCCGGCTGGGCCCAGCCCTGCCCTCAGTGAGGTGCCCGAAGCCCTAAGGCCCTGTTGCGGTCCCGAGGGTGTTTTTCTGTTGATTTTTCATCCTGACTCGGTGAATAGGACCAATTCTGTAGCCCCATCAATGCCTCTTGTCACCTCCTGTGCTACCCATTGCACAGTGGATAAATAGGATCCCATGGTGGCCAGGGGGAGGGGTCGACGGCTGCTCCTTCGAGAAGGGCATGTTAAAATCCTCGCTGCAGATGAGGAAGCTGCTATCCCCGGCCCAAATAGGTTCTGAACTGTGTAGGTGGTGAAATAAGTCCAGCGGCCCAAGCAGGTGTAGACCTGGGCAAGACTGCCCTCCCAGGTGACTGATGACACCCCCCGAGGACAGTGACTAGCTTCTGCACAGGGGAAGTCACCTGTTGGTACCCACCTGTCCATACCTGCAGTCAGCTGGATCTCAGGATTTGAAAAAAAAAAGCTGGGTTTTTTGAGACGATGGGGAATAATATCTCCCTGAAAGGGTGCACTGGACTTGTCAGAACACCTTGGTTCGAATTTTGGCTGTGCCACTTTACCTTTGTGACCTTGGTCACATTAGTCACACCCCATCCCACCCCCTCTTTCAGGTGCTCAGTTTCATCAGCCCCTAAATGTAGGCAGATGGTCAGCCCCAAAACTGCAGATATACGGTAAGCTGGGCTCAAAACTGTTGGGCAAAGAGATCCAGCTAGATTGTATATGGGAAATGACATAGTGCTTACCTACTTTCAAGAAAAATCATTTTAAGGTTACAATTTTTCCATTGATGCTATATGGCTTTGAATCAGGGTCCCTCAGCTGGTATTTATTACATTTGAACCCATGTCTCCCTGGTTTCAAGGGTGGCATGCTTTCTACTATTGCCACCCTGACTCTAACTACAATCTCTGAAGAATCAAAATTGTGTGTGACTCAAAGGACAGTAGAGGCCAATCTGGTTGGTGTAAAGAGGCTGAAGATTTTATCAAGGATAACCTGCACGTGAGGAGTGATAGAAGATACCCAAGATGTAAGCTCAGATGGATCAAGTCATACAAGCAAGAGTCAGTGATGATGGATGGATAGCCCAGCTCTAGCACTAGGACTCTGCTGGTGTTAGAAAACATTCTGAATGTTAGAAGGCATCTACTACATTGAGTGGAGGATTTATAGAACAATACAAATGAGGGCTGCAGAGGATGAGAAAGTATGAATAACTTATGAGCTGCACCTTTGCCAGGGCCTACATAAATGACATTTCAGATCCATGGAGCATTAATGTTGTTTTCCTCCTGTGTAAAGCAACCTACTTAACATTCTTATCAGCTGCTATGAAGACCTGTCCTGACACATTTTATTTGGCTCATCTTCATAGAGATCAGTCAGGAGTGGCAAATACAGGTCTTAAAAGAATAAATGTTCCCCTCATAGAAGCCAGTTGCATTTTTCACTTGGCAACTTCTTCCATGGCCTGAGGGACTATAAAATGGGGCCATCTCAGGTCAGAGGAATAAGGAAATTCCATCGCTTTGGGCCCTCTAGTTCCCTGAAGTTCAGACCCATGAGCCATTATTATTAGCAATGCAGCAAAGCCCAAATGGCCTCAGTGATCGGGCAGCAAAGACCGAATGGCATCGGAAAGAGAATGGGCCTTCCATAGGGAATTTGAACATCATATTAGGCTCAGTTATTACTGTGATAACTATAGTAGTGTTGACTAATGAGCCTTGTTAGGGCTTTAAAAAAAGAATTTGGCCCAGAGATTGGGCTCCTACATTAAACCATGACCTTGGGTATTACCCATGCTATTGCCAAGGGATTCCAGGAATCCTGAGAAGTTGAAACAGCTGTGACATGCTTAGCTTCACCCAATCAGTGTATCGAAAGAACTTCAAACCTTTTCTGATATCACTGGAATCTTTTCTAGATCCCCAGTGTCCAATAAATGATAACTAAACCCAAGCAGTACTTCTAAGCTACCTGGAAACAACTAGGCCTGTACAGTCAGGCAGGGACAACCTCCGTGCAGATCCATGCAGGATGACAGGGAGTTACCGGGAGTTGCACTGAAGAAAACTAGAGTTTTCACACCCAAATGCCCAAGGGGAGAAATGCTAGATATAACTAATCAGCTAGGATGAAATGTACTCCACCTCAATTTTTTTTTGTGATGGAACGAGGAAGCTTCTCAGGACACCAGACCACTAGGCAAAGCTTTCAGGGCTACTAGGCCCCTTTTGCTTCCTTTTCCCTGGGAAAGGTCCAGTTTACTCCATATGGCATGAAGCAAATAAATGCTCAATTACCATACTGAGGAGAGTTCCCCAATTTTGGTTAGAATTCAGACTTTCTTGCACATAATATAAATAACATTTAATCTAGCATTTAAGGCCCTCTACAGTCTGGAGGTAGCCTACCTTCTAGTCAATAAGCATTTATTAGACTGTGAACTTCTCCATCAGATTTTATAGCTTCTTGAGGGCAAAGATTCTTTGGCCAATTTTTCATTTTATACCCTCAGCATTAAACACAGAGCCTGGAACAGAGGTTCTTAAATGCCTGCATTAAATAAGTACTTAATATATGCTTATTGACTGACCATTTTTCAATCAATTAATCAATAAACATTTATCAGGCTTCTGATGTGCCAAGCACTGTGCTAAGCACTGGGAATACAAAGAGTCAAAAGATACTCAAGTCTAAGCTTACAATCTAGTGGGGGAGACAAAATGCAAATAAATACATACAAAGCAAGCTATATACAGGATACATAGGCAATAATTGATAGAAGGCACCGGAATTAAGAGCAGTTGGGAAAGCCTTCCTACTTTCCAGCCTTATTTCACATTACTCATTTTCACGTACCCTGTACTCAAGCTAAATTGAACTACTTACTCTTCCTTGATCTTGTCCTGCCTTCTCTAACATCTGGATGTTCTTCCTTGCATGGAACGCACCATTTGTTCTTGTCTCCACCTGTTGAGATCTTTCTCCCTCAAGGACCAGTTTAGGTGATAACTCCTCCACCAAACCTTCCCTGATTGTGTCAGCTGAAAGTGGTTCTATCCTCAAATTTTCCTAGAGAACTTTATCTGGACCTCTCTCCTTTGCCTCTTTCTCAATCACCTTTCTTTTACATATCTGTAAATGTCCTGTCCCCTCCTCCATTAGACTGTAAGGACATTGAAGGCAGTGACTTTTGTATTTCTTCTTCATATTTCCAGTGCCTAGCATACAATAAGTACACAATTAATATTTGTTGAATGTGACACGAGCTAGTTGATGATTGAGATACAATAAAAGAAACAGGGTTGGAAAAAAGTGGTTGGAAATTGATCCCTTTCCTACTTCTCAAGAATGGGAAACAGACTACAAAGGGAAAATTTAGGCATACCTAGCTCATTAATAATGATAGTAACAGTTGATACTCATTTATCATCAATCATCATGGAGCTCAAAGCACTTAATAATTTTTAAAAGAAAAAAAAACCCTTATTAATCCTTCCACAACATGCCTGGAAGGTAAGGTGAGGGCAAGCTATTATAGCATTCTGCATACTATAACATAGCTGCTATTATAGCAGCAACGTAGCACAGCTGATAAGTTGGACCAGGAGTTTGGAAAAACTGAGTTCAAATCCAGTCTGAGACACTTTCTAGTTGTGTGAGGCCCTGGGTAGGTCAGTTAACCTCTTTCTGGGTCAGTTTCCCCATCTATAAAGTGGAGATAATAACTCCCAGGGTTGTTGTGAAGTAAAATGAGATAATATTTATAAAACACTTAAAGCACTATATAAACACCAAATATTTTTATTATTATTAAGAAAAAGAAATGAGATGGTAATAACTGAAGCCTATCTGGAGAAAAGACTCAGGTTTCCTGCTTCCTCTACTACTAATGTCTTCACTAGATGGTAAGGGCTTCTGAGGCTGCTTCTTCTAAGGTGGCACAGCATCTTCCAGGGAGCTGTAATATTCTCTCAAGTTCAGAATATCAAGCAATGTTACTGAAGGCATGAGATAGCACAGGGAGTCTGGCCAAGGGAGCCTTCCTTTTTCTAAAGGGCCAAGGTGAGAGTGATGGCACTTGTTCCAAAATGGAAGCAACAAAATCATGAACTATTGTACCCAATAACCTTTACATGTTTTTAACAATTTTAACAAGTGTGGAGGAAAAGGGAAGAATAGTAAGCAAGGGACTGAGGCCTTTTTGGGCCCTCAACAAGACACTTTAAAAAATCACTGGCTGGGATATCTTCCGTTTATTACATGGTGATCTGACCCTACTGCTATTCTGTTTCTTTAAGAGTTATTTTATTGACATTCAATCTCACATTACAGTAAAACAACACCTTTATTTTCTATGATCATTCTGATAGTGAAACACAAACTGGAAGTTAGGGTGGTCTTGGGTGGTAGGAGAAGAGGAAGGGAGGAGCTGGGGGGAAGTAAGGAGTCATCAGGGTATGAGACGGGCAAGGAAATGAGTCAGCCTGGATCCCTTTTATGTATCTCACCCATTTCCAAAAAAGTACAGCTACTAATTTCTTAAAACAGCTCTTGCCCATGCTGTTCAGATTGGCCTCAGAGCCAGCGCCGTGCTCCTGTGCTGCTGCTGAAGAGATAATCTCTGCCTGTAACTAGATATGAAAAGCAGTGAGCTCTACATGACTTCACCCTGGCAGATCCAAGCAGGAACCTAGGGTGTGTAAGGGAAGTAGCATACGGCCAGCTGTTCTCATCTAGCTACAAACTGACCTGCTAAAAGGTGGTTCCAAGATATAAGGCGACTCTCACCAGGAAAGGCTAGAGAATTTGGAACAATTACCAAAAAAGCTATTAAATTGTACACACTCTTTGATCCAGTAATGCCACTACCAGTGCCATATACTGAAGAGATCAAAGAAAGAAGGAAAGGACCCATGTGTACAAAAATATTTATAGCAGCTGTTTTTATTGTGGCAAAGAATTGGAAACTGAGGGGAAGCCCATCAATTGGGAAATGGTTGAACAGGTTACGGTATATAATGTGATGGTGTATTATTGTGCTATAAGAAATGAGAAGGGGATCGTTTCAGAAAGGCACTGGGAAGACTTATATGAACTGATGCAAAGTGAAGTGAACAGAGCCAGGAGAACAGTCTACATAGTAACAGCAATTGTGAAAGACTCTGATCTGAGTAAACTCTGATCGATGCAAGACCCAACATAATTCCAAAGGACTCATGATGAAAAATGCTATCCACCACCAGATAGAGAACTGATGGACTCAAAGTGAAGATTGAAGCATATTTTCTCTCTCTGTCTCTCTGTCTCTCTCTCATTTGCGTGGCTAATGCAGAAATTTGTATTCCATGACTATACTTCGTATATTTGTAATGGGTTTTGGTTTTTCTTGCCTTCTCAATTGGGGGGAAAGGGAAAAGGGAGGGAAAGAATTTGGAGCTGAAAAAAAGAATTAAAAAATCTCTGAGAGAGAGAGAGAGAGAGAGGTCAGGGAAAAAAAGGTGGAGGTGGGGGAGAAGCTAAAGAGGCAGAGTGGTTGGGGTGGTCCTGTCCTGAATTGCTTTCAGTCCAGGCCAGAAGAAAAAGCATGAATAAGTTTAAAGCAAAGAGGCATCAGTGTCAGGGTGTCAGAGCACAGGGAGTCTGGCCAAGGGAGCTTTCCTTTTTCTAAAGGGCCAAGGTAGGAGTGATGGTACTTGTTCCAAACTAGATTTTGTGACGGTATGCCTCTTTATTTGCAGAAGGGGCTAGGGTGAAAGTAAGTACAGAGCAGGAAGTAGAGAACTTACCAGGGTCCTGGGCTCTGCCATCAAACTGCTGCTGCTTGGGGGGTAAAAGAAAAAAGAAATGAGAGAGAAGCACTTAGCAATCCCTCCACCTGCACACCCACCCAAACCAGCATCTAGTTCTAATACTCAGCACTGCTACACTCTTTGCTTATTCTAGCCAAAGGTGCTAGATGTGAGGAGCTCCCTGATTTGAAGCTCTTATCCATCAATCAAACAACACACATCTATTAAGCACCTATTGTCTATTTTTTAAGTGAATAGAGCTCTGGGCCTGGAGTCAGGAAGATGAGTTCAAATCCAGCCTCAGACACTTACTAGCTATATGACCCTGGGCAGGTCACTTAACTTTTGTTTACCTTACTCCACTGGAGAAGGAAATGGCAAACCACTCCAGTATCTTTGCTAAGAAAACCCCATGATCAATGTTGGCATTCTATGGTCCACCAGGTCATGAAGAGTTATTCATGAATGATTGAACAATAACAATCTACCAAGTAACATTCTAGGCATTGCAGATACAAAGACAAAAAATCAACAGTCCCTGCTCTCAAGGAGCTTATATTCTATGGGGAAGTCAATATGTACATATATTTGTTCCGTTGCTTTTCAGTCATGTGTGACCCAGTCACTGTGACCCCATTTGGTGTTTTCCTAGCAAAGATACAGAGTGGTTTGCCATTCCTTCTCCAGTTCATTCTACAGATGAGGAAACTGAGGCAAACAAGGTTAAACGACTTGCCCAGGGTCTCACAGCTATAACTGTCAGGACAGATTTGAACTCAGGACGAAGAGTCTTCCTGACTCCAGGCTTGGCACTGTATCTACTACACCACTTATATATGTACATATGTAAGTACACACAAAATTATATACTAAAGAAATGCAAGGTAACTGGGTGGAAGAGGTAGGCTACATGAGTAAGAAGGTGGCATAGGCTGAATTTTGAAGTAAAGAAGAGATGGGGAATTTGTGGAGGAGAAGAGACAATCAAATAGGAGCAGTGATATCTTAGAGACAGCTCTGGTGCCAGTGGTCATTAGTGGAAGTGCCCTTTGAGATAATATTTATAAAGTGCTTAGTCCAGTGCCTGGCACATAGTAGGCACTTAATAAATGTTTATCTCATACCCTCTTCCCTCCATCTCAAATCCCATTGATTGGAACAGGCTTAGCAGTACCAGACTTAGGATGCTGCTGGTTTCATCATTCTTCTTTTTTCTTAGGTCACCAGTAGAATTTTCATTTCTCCTAGTGCTAAGCGAAAGAAAAAAGTAAAGGAAGAGCTGGAAGATGTCTTGAGGGACTCTAGCATTAGTAATCTTGAAACCTGTGGTAAAACTGTTTCTAATAGGGCAGGAACCTTAGCAGAGCAGGTTGCTTCTGACATAGAGTGGCTCTCAGACCCCAGCAACTGGCTTTGAAAGGTAAGGCAGTTTCTTGAGGATGATCAAAAGCCTGTGAAACACAGGGAGAAAAGGGAAAAGGAGGTTGCTACTTTACCTGTCCAATAATAGAGTCTGGGAGGATTGTCCATGTGTTTGCTGGCTTAGAGCCATCCTAGAGTAAAAGGAAGGAGTATTGAGGATAAGTGGAGTTAAGATGCTATCCTATCTAGAGGAATTTCTCTTTTACCTATTACCTCAACTCTCATGATGACACGTTAGGGCTTCACACTTGATATGAGATAAGTAATTTGGGTAAGAAATGACCCACTGAATTGAAATTCATCTATTAAAGACTGAATTTTGTTGCCATTCCTCATTATAATAAGGGCCTCTAAATGGAATAGAGGGCCTTAATACTTAAAGAACCAAGTATTCTTCAGTCCCCATTAGGTGATGCTAGGTGATGCAGGCAGAGAAAGAATTTTATGCCAAGTTGCTGCATACATCCATGCAGTAGACAGGAAGATACAGAAATTCTACAGTTGTAGTCAGAGAAGAAGGAAAGGGAAATACTCAAGAATAAAATTCTGAAGATGAAAAGGGAAACAATTCCAATGAGGTGAAAAAATAGGACATGTCTGAAGAGACATGTGGATGCACAGGAAACCAACCAACTTAAAGGAAAAAAGAAATATACAGAAGATGGAAATAAGGCTAGATAATAGAAAATGAATATAAAAGCATGACATGGTTCTGTAAAAAAAGTGTCAAGTGCTAAATAAAGCTCACAATGACCTGAGACTGCCAAGAAAAGTTAAAGACAACACAAAGGTATGGGTTTTTTAAGCTATGTTGGAAGAAAAGATCCAAGAAAGGAGAGGGCCTTTGCTTGGGAAGGTGGTAACTGACAACAGAGAGAAACCAATGCTCCTCAATTCTTACTTTGCTTCTGTTTCCTCTGCCAAGGAGAATGGCCCTCACACTGGAAATGACAGAATAAAAATGGCTAACGGGAGATGATACCTGAGATAAGTAAGGCCGTAGTAGAAGAGCATCTGGCTGCACTTAAATAATTCAAGACACCTGTTCCAGGTGAACTATATCTCCAGGTACCAAAAGAACTGGTATATATAGTTGCTGTCAACAATATTTGAAAGATATGGAAAATAGGAAAGGTAGCACAAGATTGGAGAAGGGCAAATGCACTGATCTTCAGAAAAGGGAAAAAAAACCCAGAATCTGCAAACTATAGGCTAGTCAACTTGATTTCAATTCCTGAGAAAGTCTAGAATGGATCATTATAGAGGTATTGGTAAACTTTTAGAAAGAGATGTGGTGACTACCACAGCCAGCATGGCTTCTCAAGAACAGATGATCCCAGACTTCCTGCCCCATATCCAGCCCAGAAGAGCCAAAGGGTAGCACATCCTCTTCCTATATCTCTCCCTAACCAGCCCAGTGACAGTGTGATTAAGGCCCAGTGGACTATCTTCCTCTTCTGATGCCCTCTAAAATCACCTGCATCCAACCCCCATTCATCCCAGAGGAGCAGTCAGGAGACAAAGGACCAGTGTCCCTAGCCTTTAACTTGAAACACCACCCAAAGGACACAGTGAAGATTGTAGAGGAAACCAACTCATCTTTTCCCACCCCAAGAAATATTGACAAGGACCCTAAACAGAGCAACAATTTGAAAAAGCAAAGGGAACTACTCAAAAAGACTGCTAGAAGTCACTGGAGGCTATGAGAGGGATCACTCAGGGAAGTCTAATAAATGGATGACATCTGTGAACACTGGGCCTCCACAGGGCAAATATGAGTAAACAGAAGAAAACACCAAACACAAGGAGGAAATAATATGGGTTAGGAAACCCCCAAAATAAACCCAGATGAAGAAAGTTTAACATCTCTGATTTAAGAACACAAAAAATGCAACTAAAAACTAATTGGAACAATAACTTTGGTCAAATAGGATATAAAATAAAAAACCTTTCTCGGGCAGCTCGGTGGTACAGTGGATACAGCACCGGCCCTCAAGTCAGGAGGACCTGAGTTCAAATCCGGCATCACACCAACCACTTGACACTTACTAGCTGTGTGACCCTGGGCAAGTCACTTAACCCCAATTGCCTAAAATAAATAAACAAACAAATAAATAAATAAATGAGCCCCTTTCCTTATGTTACTAACAAAACCCAAGAGATAAAGATAAAAAAAGAATTTTCTTTAAATGTTATTACAGAATGTAATATCTAGGAGTCCACCTACAAAGACACACATAGGAATTATATGAATATAACTATAAAACACTCTTTACAGAAATATAGACCTAAATGACTAGAGAGATTTTAATTACTCATGGTCAGGCTGTAACAATATAATAAAAATGACAATACTACCTAAGTTAATTTATAAATTCAGTGTTAATACTAATCAAAGTACCAAAAGGTTACTTTATAAAACTAAAAAAGAAATGACAAAATTCATCTGGAGGAAGGTTAAGTAACAGTCTCAGAACAGATCATTTTTAAAGTGGGAAAGAAATGGGCCTAAGCTGTACCAGATCACAAACTAGAGCATAAAACTTATCTAGTACTTATTAGAAAATACAAAGGTTGATCAGTGAAATAGTTTAGGTATACAAGAGCCAGATGCAATCAATCATAGCAGCATAGTGTCAGATAAACCCAAGAATTTCAAACACTAGGGTAAGGCTTATTTGACAAAACTACTAGGTAAACAAAAAAGTTGTTTGGAAGAAATTAGGATCAGGAGAACATCTTACACCATATCATAAACTCCAAATGAATACATGATCTAGATATAAAAGGTCATCATAACTATAAATAGGAAAAGATTTCTCGACCAAACAGGGGATAGAATGGATCACAGGTGATAAAAACAGATGCTATTGATTGCATAAAATTAAAAAGTTTCTGCACAAACAAAATCAATATAGTTAGAATTAGGAGGAAAATAATTACCTGGGGGAAATAATCTTTGCAGCATATTTCTCTCATAATGGTCTGATGTCCAAGATATATATAAATTTATATAATTAACTGATAAGACCAAGAGCTATTCCCCAAGAAAGAAATGGTCAAAGGATATAAAGAAGCAGTTTTTTTAAATATAAATTTATTTATTTTTAGTTTTCAACATTCACTCCCACAAGTTTTTGAATTCCAAATTTTCACTCCATCTTCCCCCTCCCCCCACCCCAAGATGGCATGCATTCTGAATATCCCTTCCCCTAGTCTGTCCTCTCTTCTATCTCTCTCCCCTTCTCTTATCCCCTTCCCCTTCTATTTTCCTGTAGGGCAGGATAGACTTCTGTACCCCATTTCCTGTATTTCTTATTTCCCAGTAACATTTGAAAACATTTTTTAAACATATGTTTTTAAAACTTTAGGTTTCAAATTTTCTCCTTCCTCCCTCCCCACCCACCCTCATTGAAAAGGCAAGCAACTCAATATAGGTTGTACATGTGCAGTTATGCAAAACACTTCCATAGTAGACATGTTGTGAAAAACTAACTCTATTTCCCTTAATCCTATCCTGCCCTCCCATTTATTCTATTCTTTCTTTTGACCCTGTCCCTCCTCAGAAGTATTTACTTCTGATTACCCCCTTTCCCAATCTGCCCTCCTCTCTATCATCCCCCTGCTCTCTTGTCCCCTTCTCCCCCTATTTTCCTGTAGGGTAAGACAGATTTCCATACCCAATTGAATGTGTATGTTATTCCCTCCTTAAGCCAAATCCTATGAGAATAAGATTCACTCATTCCCTCTCACCTTCCCCGTTTCCCCTCCACTGTAAGAGACTTTTCTTTTCTGTTTTTTTTTTGTGAGATAATTTACCCCATTCTACCTCTCCCTTTCTTCTTCTCTGAGTATAATCCTCTCTCATCCCTTAATTTTATTCTCCAGATATGACCCCTTAATCTTCAACTCACCCTGTGCCCTCTATCTATCTATCTACATATACATACATATAATTTTTTTCCTCCAACTACCCTAATACTGACAAAGGTCTCATGAGTTATAAATATCATCTTTCCATGCAGGAATGTAAACAGTTCAATCTTAATAAGTCTCTTATGATTTCTCTTTCCTGTTTACCTCTTCATGTTCCACTTGAGTCCTGTATTTGAAAGTCAAATTTTCTATTCAGCTCTGGTCTTTTCATCAGAATGCTTGAAAGTTTCTCTCTATTTCACTGAATGACCATTTTTTCCCCTGAAGGATTATACTCAGTTTTGCTGGGTAGGTGATTCTTGGTTGTAATCCTATCTCCTTTGCCCTCTGGAATATTATATTCCATGCCCTGTGGTCCTTTAATGTAGAAGCTGCTAAATCTTGTGTTATCCTGATTGTGTTTCCACAGTACTTGAATTGTTTCCTTCTGGCAGCTTGTAATATTTTCTCCTTGACCTGGGAACTCTGGAATTTGGCTATAATATTCCTAGGAGTTTTCCTTTGGGGATCTCTTTCAGGAGGAGATCTGTGGATTCTTTCAATTTCTATTTTGCCCTCTGGTTCTAATATCAGGGCAGTTTTCCTTGATAATTTCTTGAAAGATGATGTCTAGGCTCTTTTTTTGATCATGGCTTTCAGATAGTCCAATAATTTTTAAATTCTCTCTCCTGGATCTATTTTCCAGGTCAGTTGTTTTTCCAATGAGATATTTCACATTGTTTTCTAATTTTTCATTCTTTTGGATTTGTTTTAGTGTCTTGATTTCTCATAAAGTCACTATCTTCCAATTGCTCTATTCTAATTTTTAAGGAAGTATTTTCTTCAGTAAGCTTTTGGACTTCCTTTTCCATTTGGCCAATTTTTCTTTTTAGGGCATTTTCTCCTCATTGGCTTTTTGGACCTCTTTTGCCATTTGGGTTAGGCTATTTTTTAAGGTGTTATTTTCTTCAGTATTTTTTTGGGTCTCCTTTAGCAAGCTGTTGACTTGTTTTTCATGATTTTCTTGCATCACTCTCAGTTTTTCCTCTACTTCCCTTACTTGCTTCTCAAAATCCCTTTTGAGCTCTTCCAAGGCCTGGGACTGATTCATATTTTTCTTGGAGGCTTTGGATGTAGGAGCTTTGACTTTGTTGTCTTCTTCTGGTTGTATATTTTGATCTTTTTCACCAAAGTAAGATAATATAGTCTGACTCTT